GGGCTCGCAGCCCTCGCCCGCGGCCAAGGCGGCGGCAGCGGCGGCTCCGCGGGCCGCCAAGCGGCAGCGCTCGGCCTCGCCGGAGCTCATGCGCTGCAAGCGGCGCCTCAACTTCAGCGGCTTCGGCTACAGCCTGCCGCAGCAGCAGCCCGCCGCCGTGGCGCGGCGCAACGAGCGCGAGCGCAACCGCGTCAAGCTCGTCAACCTGGGCTTCGCCACCCTGCGCGAACACGTCCCCAACGGCGCCGCCAACAAGAAGATGAGCAAGGTGGAGACGCTGCGCTCCGCCGTCGAGTACATCCGCGCGCTGCAGCAGCTGCTGGACGAGCACGACGCCGTGAGCGCAGCCTTCCAGGCCGGCGTGCTCTCGCCCACCATCTCGCCCAGCTACTCGCACGACATGAACTCCATGGCGGGCTCGCCCGTCTCCTCTTACTCCTCCGACGAGGCCTCCTACGACCCGCTCAGCCCCGAGGAGCAAGAACTGCTCGACTTCACCAGCTGGTTCTGAGCGCCGCCGTCCCGCGCCCCTGCCCCGCCGCAGGTGGGTGCGCGCCCGCGGGGCCGGGGAACGCCAGGCGGGGGGCTGCGCGCGGGCGGCGCCTTCTTTGCTCCCCGCAAGCCTCTCATCTCATCTCTCTTTTTATTTTTATTGTTACAGGGCAGTTGCAAAAGGGGGGAAAATGAAAAAAAAAAAAAAAAAGAAAAGAAACACTGTGTATCGCAGAGAAAAACACAGACACATGCAGAGACAAAAAAAAAGAAAAACAAAAAACCTGTTGCATGTCCAGCTCCCCCGCCGTCGGAGGGCGGTGCGGGCCGGGCCCGGGCAGGCGCACCCCCGCGCACGGCGCTGCGCGCCGCCGCTTTGCACTCTGCTCCCGGCCACCTCGAATTGCTCCACGGGGCGGAAGCCCCGCGGAAAAGAGTCCGCGTGGGGGACCCCGGCCCGGCACTGACCGTCCAGGAGCTCTCTGCCTTCTGCTTCTTCGCGCCTGCTGGAGGGACCCTCCCCCGCCCCCGGCTCCCCTCCGCGCCCCGCCTTGGCCCGTCCGGCCCGTCAGAGACTCTGTGGACAAAGTTAGTTCCTGATGTTTTGGAAGAGTTTGGAACTGAGTTCTGCTGTACTCTAAGAATGATCCAGAGTGTCCCCCTCTCCCTCTCTCCCTGCCTTCTTCCTTCACTCCTTCCTACACCCAGCTTTGCCTCCCCTTTTCATCATAGGATGCTTCCAATCTTTTTTTTTTTTTTTTTTTTT